TTCAAGCATTTTCTCCATTTTCACAAAATCAGTTTTTAATACTACATGGTGAGATCTTATTCATTAATAGTATTAATTTAAAATGGTAATAAAGGCTTCCATAATCAATTCCTAAAGAGCTCATAAACTATGTAAACTCATCGTTCTTCTATAATTAACTATTTTAATCCCATTTTTATTTCTGCATTTAATCCCATTCAAGTCTTTTGTTTCCTGGTTTTTAGATTTTGGGCAATTGAAGAGGGTATGAGTGGATTCTTGTGGCAGTTTGGTTTTTCACTTTGTTTTGTTTGTTTTGCTGTTTTTTCTAATTTAGGTGCCTATTATCTGTAGAATGGATTAAGAATAGATGAAGAAGACTTTAACTATGCCTCTTGGAAGCAGGATAATATAGGATATTCCCAATGCTGGGATCTTGCTTCCTAGTCTTATTTCTTGTAGTATACCAAATTCAATAGGCTTCAAAAGAGTATGGAAGTGAGGTACCATCTGAAATAGGCCTGTGGGCTCCTAATCGCTCATTCTATTCTTGGTCAAGCAGTCACTCATATCCAATCACAGCATGAGATTTCTTTGTCTCAGGAAAGACTTTGCCCTGTTTATCCAAATAAAGTAAAAAAACCCAAACAACACTTCAGATGACACTAGTCCAAATTAACCAAGTACTAGCTAAAGCAAACAATTCTACATCAAATAATTAGGCAGACCATTTTCTGCTTCCAGATCAAAAGAAGATAATTAGTAATGAGTAGCATACTTCATAATATTATACAGACTATGTTTGGGTCATTAGATCATCATCTAATGTGCCTTTTTACATATAACAGTCCATTAAGCTAGCAACAGACACACTTTAAAGAGATTAAAATGTGTTAGTTAGACTTAAGGAGTTCAGTTTTCAGAAAACGAAACTATATGCCAACGGTAGAGAATAGGCTTTAGAAACTTCTGCTACAGTAGTAACTGATTTGGCAAAATGGTCTGAAAACCCAAACCATGTCTATCCAACAGAGGGGAGAAAATCCTCCAAATTCCGAAAATTTAATCTGGAATTAGAGAAGGCAAGGAAATTCCTCCCCATTAACTAAAATCTGGTGATCAGTATGTGACCAAGAACTATCCAGAAGGAACTAGATTTTATTAAAATGTATGACTTTACTTCATCTCTATCCACAAGAAAAAAGACACTTTGAAGAATTTGTTTGTTGTTATCTCCTCTTTCTCAAGGAGACATTTAACAAATTGCACATCACTGGGCAAAATATTCCTTCTTAGCTGCAAGGATGACTGTTAGTCCTGAAACACCATGCTTGACTAAAAACATTTTCTTAATGCAAAGCTGCAGGTACTGCAAGCATATTACGACAATGCAAGAAAACTAGAAAAAAAGCTGATATATAGTCTGTGATGTTTCTTTTTCTGTTCATTAAATTATTGCTTGATCCTCTAGGTTATGATTCCAGAAGGCAAAGTATACCTATTTATCACTTTGCATTTTCTACTTATAGTGCTCTAGGAAGAATGACCCTAATTAGGTTCTTTAAGTATTATTATTAGAGTTAAGCAAATAATTTCCCGAAGGTTTGTTTCATGGACTTGGGCATTTTTGTCCCTTAATATGTTCAATCGATAAATTTTCATATTAGTCAACCAGCTGTATAAGCTGATCAAACAGTATTTGTGAATTCATTTGATGACTGATTTATATCAAATGTTGGAATAATTATTCATGACTAATTGGTTCCATTATGCAAAGAGATCTAATTGTTATCCTGAGTTTTAAAAGGAACTTGTATTCCATAGTGCACGAGGTAAAATAAACTAATGGAAGTGCAGGCTGTACATTTGTGGCATAGCTGAAGTGCATCATTCCATTAACTGCTTTTACTCGAGCTCCTATACATGAATTGTGTAGGGCACTGTGCCCTTGAAAGACATAAACTAACTGCAGATCGTCACAAGTCAAACCATTCCCCTTACTATTTCATCATGTTCAAGTGCATAAGTCTCTTCAGAAAGCCCTGTAGTTATTATATTTTTACCATGCCAGGGATTTTCTGTGCTGTCCTATGGAGAGGCAGGAACATTAAGATGGAAAAGTGGCTAGACACTAACTCAGAAGACTGGAGATAAATTTCCTGCTTTATTAGTCTCACTCAGTTCCCCATCAACAAAAAATAGAGATGTGGTGCACTGGGTTTCTGCTACTTTAATACTGCTTATTAAGGGTGGAGCTTTGTCCCACGTCACTTCAAGGTGAATAATAGAAAAAATTGTAAAAATAAAAGAAGCTTTGTGCATGAGGCAGTGAACCTACTGTAGTTACATACAGTAAGGAAACAGTTTTCAGGGGTCAATCACCTGTAGTTATGTGGCAAAATTCTACACTATACATAGGAAAGAATTCTGGTTCCCTCAAGTTAAACTCTTTATCCCTCCTCTGTCCCAGAAAACTATGCTTTTATTGCCTGCTGACAATGGTCTCTCTGCTATGCTATCCTCTAAAGGATGGTAGGTATTGTTTGGGAGAGTCTTCACTGTTACGGTCTTAAATGATGTCAGGGAGCATGCTAACAGATACACAGTTAAACAGTGTAGATGACTACAAGGACAGTTTTTAAGCTTGGGCAGTCGCCTTGTTTAGTTTTATTTACTAGTGTAACTAAGCTTCCAGTCCAGCACCTGTGTAGCCAGGGTAGCAGGGTCTGTGGCCAAAGCAGTATTTTCTGGCTCCTATCATATGAAACACTTTTCTTTATAGAGTATTTTCTTAGGCACAGCATACATGATTTCTGGGCTGGTTCTGGATCAGATCTGGCTTGTTTGGAGGGCAAAGAGACAGGCACCTGTCTGTATTCTATGCTTTAATGTATTAAGTATTGTAAGTATGCATATCAACTGCTTTAAATCAACTTCAGAAACATTGTTTTTTTTGAAGACCTACTTTTCTTTTATGTATTTCAGATAATAAATGAAAGGAATTCAGCTCAGACTCAGATTTTATGGGAACACTCACAGAACTGAGTGACAACCCCCCACTCCTGGTCTGAGTTAGTAAAATAATTTTATTGGTAAATTAAGCACACTGAGGCATCTCATAATTGCTTTCATAAGCACACATATTTATTATAGCAACACCGTCTGTCAGCAGCTTCCTTATAAAGCCCTATTTTCAGGGATTTATGGAACTAACATATGTATCGTGGGGGGACAAGCCTACATTTGCAGGGCGATGACCTTATAGGTCGTTACCTCTATTTTCTCTGATTCTTTAAATATGCTACGTTGTTCACTTTGAGAAGCAGTAAGATGTAAGATAGGCCAGTTTTCTTTGTGAACAGCTCTCAAATGTAAAAGGAATCCACTTTTCTCCTTTAATTTATACACATATAAGCTGGACTGAAATTTTGTGTAGCATTAAGATATGTTTAGGTGCTTGTGCAATTTTAAAGAAGCTTTACCTATTTTTAAATGTTACTTGGTAAATCGAATATTTCATAGTGTGGTCTATTAATATTTAATATTTTGAAAAAGGAAATATAGAAGAAAATATAAATCTGATCTGGGTTAGAAATGCCTTCTTTTGTTCAACAATGACCCCTAGGCAAACTTGCAGCTTTTGAAAAACTATCAGTGCCTCACCAAAAGTTAGCCAGTTAAGTCAAACCACTGAATAGCATGAAACAGCATTTCCCACTCCTTGAGTTGCAAACTAGCTTAGACATAAGCTGTTGCAAAAGAAATAAAATAACAAAAATATTAAATGCAAAACAGTTACAGCCAACTCAATGTGTTTTTTGAGCACGAACATTAAGAGGAAAGACAAACATGCAGAAAGCTATATAAAATAGAAAAGTTTCTATGTAGTAGGGAAAAATTCCTTTGACAATCTATTCTGTCTTGTTTTAAAAATTATTCTTGCTTTGGCCTTCCCTGAAACTGAATCCTATCCCCCAAATAAGTTGGATCTAATGAAATAGAAATGCAGCTCAAAGGTATTCATCAAAATCTTCTCTAAGTAGCAATCCAGATTTGAGGGATGACAGCCAGGTTACTGCTTTTTAAGCCCCCAAAGATTTTTAAACATGTTACAGAAATGTTGCACTTGGTTGAGAGGTTGGAAGTTATGAAGCACAGCGCTGAATTAGTGTCCCTCTGCTGAATGATAAATGGAGCAGTGGCCTTTGGAAAAGGAGTCAGAGTAATAAGAGTGTCAGTAAAATATATCATGCAGGCAAAAACCATTGTCCATGAGAACCTTCAAAGGCGCGCCTCCCACTATAGTATTAACCTGGATGAATGCTTCAGCTATGGAATCACGGTGTAATCAATATACCTAGCATATACCATGGTGGTATATTTCTAATTCACAATGTATTACATCCATGCATGTAAACGTATTTAGGCAGTAGATAAATGTATAATGCATATGCTTGCAAAGAAACTTTTCTTTAGGCATACTGTAAAACATCACATAATAATTCTTCATCTACAGTTACTTTATTTTTTCCAAGACACTGCAATTGCTTTACCCTATAATCATTTCCTATTGTTACATTCAAAGGCGAAGTTCTAAATTCGATAGCAAAAAGAAATATCGTTCCTGGCTTTCTAGTCTGCAATTAAAGAATTCATGGTATTATAAAATCCTCAGCAAGTCACTCTTCTAGAAAATCCTATTTATTCGTATCTCATTTTCTAATAAACCAAAATATGTCTTACCTCTGAAAAAATTACCCCTATAAAAATTTCACACAGTGGATATGAAAGAAGGGAATCTGATTCATTTTTCCACTTCTACAGTAAGACAAAGGTTACTTCACAAATGCCAGTAATATACAAGATCCAAATAATATCCATTAATATAAATTATTATTTCTCAGGTCTATTTTCTTCTTGGCATTTCTTATCAGAAATCCAAGAGTAAAGTAGTTTTTTTTGCACACCAATAATTAGTAATGAATAAACAGAGCAAGTACTAAAGCTGGCTTTGCACCTACTGAATGCTGCAAGTGTCTGTACTCATTTGATATGCATCTAGCAAAGCTTGGATGTTCCCAAAAGGCCACTCCATGAACACTGAGAGAGCAGCGTCTGCTAGTGGTGCCTGTAAGACACAAAGAAGACAGAAAATATTTATATAAGTCAGAGCAATTGGCAAGAATGAACCTTATTTAAACTATATTTCATACTATTTTAAAAGCACACACAGAAACAATTTCATGTAATGATGATCAGTATATAGAGATTAGTGTAAGATTTCAAAATACATTTCAATGTATACTTGATCACTTTTTATCATTGTTTTCTTAAAAATGTTTATGTTTTGCTTCATTTTCATCACTTCGCCTGGTAGGTCCAGTCAAACTGATTTTTCCTCAGCTTTTTGCCTCTGAATATAATGCACATATGTATGTTTATACGTATATATATATCTCCCATGCATATATGCAAGCTATGAGACAATATATGTACATGTGCACATATGCATGCATATGCATGAGTAAATATGTGGAGTTTATATAGATATATTCACATATATGCATTTTTACATGAGTCTAGTAATGATTTCTCTAGGACACAATGCAAAATATTCCTCCCCTTTTTTGTCATCATAAAATTTCAAAGTAGTACTGTACCTGTGGCATTGAGAGGACATCGATTGAATGCCATGTCCCCAGCTGGGGTCCTTTTCCACACCATTGACATCAAATAGTCTTCAGGACATATTTCATAAGGCGCTGTCAGAAAAACAAGTGTTCAGTCTTATCCTATTTCTTCCTGAGATATGTATGTTAACATAATTTGGTTTAATTTTAAGTTTGAAGTACAAAAATGCAAAAATGAGAATCCTGCAATTTTTGTATATCTGTCTTTGTGACGGTAGTTATTTCATATAACAAGTGCCATTATTTTCTCCAGAAAACAAGTACTCTTTTGGTTGTAGCTACAATGTTAATAGGTTTGACTCTTTCCTTGTTTCTCTATCTTGATCAATAACATTAAACATCTATCAGAAGATGACACTTAAAATGTGATAAGCTATGATGCTTATCTTACACGGAAATTTGTAAATATTTTTCTAAAATTGAATCTGTATGTGAAAGAATCAGTTCTGCAACCACAGCTGAACCATTAAATGTGTTAAAGGTGCTAAATGAGAGCTGTATATTCCGAAGGTTATTTCTTTGAAATGTGTTTCGGTACAAGTTGGTAATTAAGCAAGAGTAGTCAATAATGTGGGACTGAGTGGCTATAAAAAAAATAACCTTTTACTGCTTATCACAATACCATTTAAGGGAGAAAATATTGTCACAATTTTGTAGTAACAGAGCTGCATGGGGGAAAAAAGCTTCAGCAAATTCTTCATGTTTTATTTTACAAGGTCACAACTACAGATTTCTTTTCATATTTTACTGTAGATTCCAGTTTATTATTTTTGAGTAAACTGAATTAACAGAAAACCTCTGGCTGGAGTCGTCTCACAACTTACAGCACTGACATGCTAGTTACCGAAATCTAATTCATTCCAAGTTCAGCAGAGAAAAGCCAAGAATTGTTTATTATTATAATTATATGTATTCCTGGAAAAATACGTAATCCCACTGTATTTCAGCAAAGTGGTTACAAAGCAAGAAAAAGAAAAGAGAAAGGAAATTTGCTTTAACAGATGGTGTGATAAGGCAGAAAGCAACTCAGTGATTCACTCATGGTTGCATGGGAAATCTCTAGCAGAGGCAGGGACAGACTACAGATTTTGCCCATCCCATTACCTAACCCATAAAATCATCCATCTTCCCTGTTTTGTACTTCTGCTGATGGAAGTGCGAGCAGGGGAACTGAGTAGACTTTTGCACAAAGCTGTATCCTCAAAGCTGTAGAGGACAAAGAATACCTAGCAGATGGCTCAGTAATACTAATATGAATCACAGTTGGGCAGAAAAATTGCTTGCTAAATTTGCCTCACCATCAGCATTCCTGAATCGTAAATCAAGACAGTTGGTGCTGCTAAAAAAGCAAGAGATCCATTAATGGCAAAATCTAAAGAAAGTTAGTTATGTTCATAATCTAGAATACCAGCCCTGCTTCAGATATGCCTAAAGAGTGAATGCATCAGGACAGTGTTACAACGTGAAAAGCCAGATTTTGATAAACATAAGCCATCTGGTGACATAAGCAAATGCAATTACCATTCTATTATGACCTTATAAACAAAAGAAATGTTATGTTTTGGGGACCGTAAATTAACATAATAAGGAGGTAATATTATAAATTACATAAATTTGCTAGGGCTTAGAGCTCTTTGAGAAGTATATTTTTCATGCAGCTGTGACCATTGCAAACGTGTTGTGTTCACTAATCAACATTTTGGGTGTTGATTCTCAGAACTAAAACTCTTACTTTTTTCCACATACTGAATGCTAAATGTGTTATTTTTCTGGAAAAAAATATAAACCTGCATCTATATATGCACATATACAGCATATTTTCTCTTTTGTGTTAGCAAGTCACAGGTAATATCAGAGATTGCTCATCTATTTGGAAGGGTACTAGTGTGCTTTTGCATTATAGCTTTCAGAATTCAAGATTATATTTCAACTTCAGGCTAGTGCCAGAGATAAACTGTGCACCTGTGTGTCGTGTTCAAAGTAAAAAGCACTGCCAAGACCCAGAGTTACCAGGAAAGAGGTGTGGGAGCAACTTGTTATCATTTAGCCCAGGTAAAGAAGTTTTCCTGGTCCCTGGCTGACCCTTGGCTTTTCAATGCCTTGTACAAATATCCTGGATCAAGGAACACTGTGCCTAAAAAATATAAACCAGTTCTTCCCAAAACTAAAGTATATCTGACAGAGCTTACTCATCAGACATCCACCCACATTAAAGCATCTGTGAGGCTCCAACCCATGTTGCTCATGAAGACATAGTCACAATGGAGTGGTATCATATCTGAGTTAAAAAGCATTGCTGACCCTGCTGGCTCTGCTCAGACCAGTTCAAGTACTTCTGTTACTATGGTACAATTTATTCATAACACACCCACAGATAATGTGATTTTGCAGTACAAAACCACAGAGCACCGCTAAAATTTAGAAGCAAACAGCAAATACTGAGGTAAATTTGACGTAACTGGCAAATAAAAAGCAGATCTCTTTCACTGATGATGTGTTTCAGCAATATCTTCCCACAGAGAGCATGTACTCAAATTTACCATGTTATACCCCTGTAATATAGGCCTGAATTCATCCCACCTAAGCACAAACACTCAACAAAGTCAATGGTCTAGATCAATGGTCTAGAAGCACAATCTTCTGACATTACTGGAGAAAGGATGTGCATCTCCAAGAGGCAATTGACCCACTCAGAATCAGTGGAAGCTCTGTACTACACACAGAAAAAGCAAGAGACGCACAGTCTCACAGAGTTTACTATCTACCTAGGCAGGAAACAAATACGGGAAAGGGTAATATGAGGGTGAAGTAAGTTAGCCTAAGGCATATAGTAGCTCAGATGTTGGTGGAACTACCGCTCCTCTTGTGAATCCTAATTCAATGCCACAGGCAATATTATCTTAAACAAAGACAACAGAAAATAATGCTTTTGAACATCTTAAAAGAATAGTGTTGTAATCAGAGACAAAACAAACCAAAAAGGTTTAATTTTATTATTTAGTTGTTGTCAATTATTTGAATTTTTTACCTTCTCATATTCTATCTTATCTAGGTAGTATTACTCTGAAGAAAACTTCTAGCTTCAGTCGGAAATCATTAGCTAATCTTTAGTAGCAGTTGTGCACTCTTGTCTTTTTATTAATAAACAAGATAGTCTAGCATTGTTTTCAGTAATATTTTGGTCTGAACAGTTCCTGTATTAGGTTTCCTAACACTGACAATATGCTTACGAGGAAAATGTTGAGAATCTCTTTTCAGTAAAATCTGGGTAAAGCATTAATATTGGAAACATACATAGAGTCAATATATATTTAACTATTATGGAATTAAGTATTTCTGGAAACCAACACTCTAATATTGGAGCCTAATATATTCTTAAAACTGTCATAAGAACATGGTCCTATTTTTATAAAAATAAATTTACAGAAGTTTTCTATCCTGAATAATGCTGTACTTTGTTCATTCTCATATCTCTTAGTTTTTGATGGAAATTACTTTATTTCTCCCACATGTTCTTCTAAAAGTTTCTGATCAACTTGCCATGTAATGCCTTACCACATATCAACTTCAATTTCTTTTGTTACCTAGCTGTCTTCATTACTCTTATGGGACAGATCTAGTGTTCATTCATCTTGTGTGTTTTCTGCAGTGACTCCAGAGTGACTAGCCACTTAACAAACCTAAAAGGTTTTTTTACTTTCTCTGATTTGTTTCAAATTTTCTAAAGTTATCCTTCACAGAAAACTACTTTGAGTGCAGTGTACTGCTGACCTACTAGGAGAAAAATTCAACTTTAGACATTTGGAATGCAACAAAGGATAAATAACTGAACCCAAAATATCTTCATATTTTTGGTTTTTGTTCCCAGAATACTACACAACAGAAGGAAAAACCCAGTTTTAAAATTTATATCTGTGAATAAAAACAAATCACAAAGAAAGATACTCAAAATTTGTCCAGATACCAAACTGTTTGAGAAACCAACTTTCAGACGATAGTTCTGAGCCTCCCTTCCTTAATGCTGCTTATATTCAGCTTCTATAAATGTAATTCAGTCCCTGCCCAAACCATTTGAAAACAATACTGAGAAACTATGAAGAAAATCTTGTATAATGTTCAGATAATACAGAACACAAACTACGAAGTGTCCAGTCAAGATTTTCAGTCAGTAAACAGCTCTGTTTCATAGCATCTTATTAAGATCAGCCACCGTACTAGGAAAACGTTTCATTCTCCTTTTGCTTCCACAGTTTAAAGTCAGCTATAATTTAACTTTTTGTAAGTCTATAGACCTCTGGGGGATAAAAGAAGGTGCAGCTTCATCCCCTTTACAAAAATATTACGCAGGTTTACAGAGCTGAGGATCTGGTCTTATACAAAGCAATGCTAATACAAGAAAAAAAAATCAACATTTTAGTTTCTCATGTTCTCAGTGGTTTACATGGGAAAAGAAACCACTGGGAAGAAAATAGCTTTTCTGAGATATTTTAGGACTATGGAAGAAAAGCAGAAAAATAATGAAATTTGCTTATATTTTGAACAATTTTCTCAGTATAGTACTTTCAAATTTTGGTGTTTACACAGTGTAAATCAACACATAATTCTGCAAAATTCTAGTAAATTATCCACTCTCTCCATTTAAATCTGAGACACTTTAGTAAATGTCAGTCTAGATGCAGATAAATTAAATCTGTTATTCATGTACAATCATCTGCACAAGTATAGCTTGTTAAAAGGTGATTTAGGTTATGGTTTTTATAAGCACACTGATTTTATCTGGAATTAATCAAGTAAATAAATAAATTTACCAAATGGCGAACAAAGCTCTGTGTGCATTTGACTTGTAAATACATCTGTAAAATATTTTATTAACAGCAGGTGGCAACCTTTGAAAATTGGACTGCAGCAGCATGGTTTTACTTTTATATATAAATGTTAATTATTTCAAGAATGGTTTTATAAGCAGAAGCTGGTTCATCTGAACGTCTACTTATTAAGAAGGTTCATATTAACCTTCTTTTAGTGTTGTGGTTTTATAGAGGAAGTCTGCATTACCTATGGAAATTACAGTTTCTTTAGGAATTCAACACAAATTCTGTTTTGTACTGCTTTTCAAATAATGAAAGTTTTATTAAAATTAAAGACATCATTTAAAAACCAAGTTAAATTTGGTTAGCTTCTACAGTATAGTGTTTTGACTTTATAACTACAAATAGTCTTTTTGTTGTTCTTCAAATGCAGTGTGATTTGTTGTTCTACAGTATTGAAAATACCTTGAAAACTGTTCTTTGATGGCTATCAAGGGATAAACATGCTGTCCACGAAAATATGGGGTTGCTAACATAAAATTCACATCTGATATATTTCTCATTTCCTGACCCAACACATCTCTGTCGTTTAAGCAAAATGTCCAGAAGTCAAATCGCAAGATTGATTTTTTGCTACTTCTTGGCTTGCAGTTCAGATCACATAATTTCCCAAGTGAACAGCTAGAACATCTTACCCTACTTACACCTCATTTTGTTATCTTTCACCTATCCAACAATGCATTCTTTTACTTTAGGACAATGTGTCTTGACCGATAAATATTACTTGATTCACCAGTTATTCTTCTTTATTCACCATTTTTTAAGAAGCTCAAAACTACACTTTTATTAGCTTTCACTGAGAAAGACTTAAATCTGTTGGGAGAGCAAAGAAAAAGTGCTGCAAAGTAATATATTTAAGCATTATATTAAAACAGGAAAGATGTGCCTTTTAAAATTACTTTCCTTTTTAGAAAATGTTGCTCATGCATTCATTCATTCTCTACAGTATGGTAAGGCCAACTTCTTCTGCTGTTTTTACTGCAGTGGAATTTATCCCAAATGTATTACAAAGATGTCACCCCTACATTGGATAACAGGAATTCTATGATTTACAAAAACAGCTCTGGTATTCTCAGAAATAGTGCATTCAAAGAGAATTTCTGTAGCAAATCTTTGGCATTCCAAATACTATAGGCATTCCTAGGAAATAAAATATTTTTGATAAGTTTTTTACTATGGTACTGTGCTTTATTTAAAACATGATGCAGTGCTCATATATCCAATTGGGCTAATTTTACACCTAGCTAGATAAACACTACAGAGAAAAACATCAGTGACTTGCCTAAAGCAAGGTCAGACATGGCTCTTTACAGCTATTGTTCTATGGACATTGATCTTGCCTTTCCTCAAGATATCCATTAAAGTAAGGCATACTGTAGTGTAAATAATAACAGCGATTATATTTTCATCTCACCAGGACACCTCTGTTCACTGCACCGTCTAACTTCCTCTCCAGTTCCTTCACACTGTTGCCCAGTCACAGCAGCACCTTGACAGATCCTTATCCGCCTCTCCCAGCCACCATCACAGGATTTGGAACAGCCACTCCAATGGCCCCACTGGTTCCACTGGCCATTTGCTGTTTGGAAAAACATAATTCAAGTGGTGACAGGATTAAAGTCATAAAGAAGAATATATAAGTTATTCTTTACTTGGGTAAGAAAAGAAAGCCCCTCCAGATACAACTAACAGTGACGGAAGTGGTACATGTGGGTTCATGGAAGATGAGGAAGTTTATACTGGTCTCTTAAATATGGGATTGTTGTCTAAATGACTGGCATCTCGAGACAGACTAAAAAGAACTGACACACATTAATTTTCACTTGGTCTGCAAAACTGACATTCATCTTTTTTTTATTTTACTTGTATACTGCTTTTGTACAGTAATGATACACATTTACAATGTGCATAAGTACCTTTAAAAAACTAAATAAAACCATTTTTGAACGTGATATTTTAAGATCTTGATTTTTACATACTATGACAGAGAAAATGAGGCTTAAAGGTAAGTACACACATAATGTACACAACCTGAAAGGTTGCTTTAGTACTGTCAGAAGATCATGAAGTAGTCTCAGCGCAAAAGCAAGTCGGTTCATATACATTCAATTTCATAAAAAACTTAAGTTTTTTAGGCTTCAAACTGCTGAATGTCCTTTAAACAGTGATAAAACCATAAAGCAGCGTGTGCAGCGTGTCATGTAGCCTTTCAAGGTGCATTCTTTAGCTTTTCACCTCATCAAATAAATAAGAATGAGGACCCAGGCCTCAGAGAATCACAACAGAATAGTTAGGGTTGTAAGGGACCTCTGGAGATCATTTAGTCTCCAACTCCCTGGCAAGGCAGGGTCACCTAGAGCAAGTTACACTGGAACATGTCCAGGTGGGTTTTGAATGTCTCCAGAGAGGGAGGCTCCACGACCTCCCTGGGCAGCCTGTTCCTGTGGTCTACCACCGTCAACATAAAGAAGTTCTTCCTCGTGTTGAGGTGAAATTTCTTGTGTTTCAGTTTCTGACTTCCTGAGTTCTAGCCTCCCTCTGGGGGTGCCTGCTCTGCCCCCTGCAGCCCACCGAGCCAAGCCTGCCATGTGCCCTCTGTCCTGCGCTGGACCCGCTCGGTACTCACCCGTGCACTCGGGGTTGTAGCACTCCCGGCTCTCGGCCCAGGGCCCTCGGCACTCGGAGCCGCCGTGGGCTGCTGCTGTGCACTGCCGGCTGCGCTGCTGGGTGCCATTGGAGCAGGTCACTGAGCACTGGCTCCACGAACTCCACTCCTGCCACTGTCCGTCCACTGCCGCCGTGGGCACAAAAGAGATGGACACAGCAGAGTTACCAGGCAGGTGATCACAGCCCCTCAGGCTGGGCCCAGCCTGGTTTCTTACAGCAATCAAATACAGAGGCTGACATTATGAGCTGCTTTAAAATAATTTAAAACTGTTTTCCTTTTTCTTCAAGTAAAGAGTGTTCCCTTTCCTCTAATTGTACACTAATATAACAAAGGATAAATAATGATTTTGGTCACATATATTTTTAAGGGCCTTATTAAAAAGACGGCCTTATAAAAAAGACTCGTCTTTTTAGGCAAAAGTGAGGGCCGGTCTTGTATGACGTAAACTCTGAGCCCTTCAAAGTGATTTATTAGAGTTGCAGTGATAGTTCAGATGAGTCAGCTTATAAGATTATTGGTCCTGACCATAAAACTGGATGCCTTTATTGAATAGGAAAAGGAAAACTGGAGTTACCACTTTGCCTCACAGATAGTCTCTCTTCTTACATAGACTTACAATACTGAATATACTTTTATTATTCATCCTCCCTGTAAGGTAAACGATCTTAGTTCTTCAACATGCTTTTGAGGAAAATGTAGGAGGACAGAAACAGTCTGCCTTCCTTATTGGGTTCTGCTGTTGTGTTTGCGTATCAGGCAATCTTCTTTCCGAATTTGTCAAGTTAAATGTCTAAACAATATGGATATGATGATCAGTTCTGCATTTAGTAATTTGTATTAGCCTGTGCATTTGAGTGTGGATGCATAGTCTTCTGAATAAAGGTTAATGACTGTTATTTTTACTTTTGTATATCAGACAGCTTCTTGGGGTAAATAACATTAAAAACCAAGATAATAAAAAATGTATCCCAATTAAGATTCCATACAAATGAAAAATTATATGGTTTATAATACATAATAGGACTAGACAGCATGTTTGAAACAGGTAAGCATTATGGGATGATTTATGACTAATTGCGCTAATTCAGAATCCAGCATCCATATAGACTTCAGCAATCATCAGTTCCTTATTGCCCTTGCAGTTACCCAGTATAAACTCAAAATGTAGGTTTTAATACAATTTTGATTAGTACTTGTCCTTGAAAACCTAGTTTTAAAACTACTAGTGCTATAAAAGCACCACTGCCGAAAACGAGGAACTTTACTTGGAGCACTTGCCAATTCCTGTTTTCAGGATTCCTCTAAGGGAGGGTTGGAATAGCACCTCCCTAAGTTGAAGGTGTTAATAATTAAAATAGGAAGCAGAATCTTTAGGTTAGTTTTTAAACATATAGTTCTGTATGGGTGCACTACTCTTCGGTGAAGTATGGAGGTGAACTATTTTACTATTGTCAGACATGAACCACAGAACATTTCAAAGATACTATTTGTATCTCTAATGCCAAGAATCTCAGCAAACAGTGAATTGGAGAGTTTTTGAGGCTTTTCCCTAAAGTCCTATATTAAATATTCTATGTAATGCCTTATTGTGAACCACTTCTCAATAAGATGCTTCTGAAGCTATGAAGTTGCTCTCTGATAATTTATTCTGCAGAAAATGGAAATTTTCCCAATCATGGAAGCTAGCTCCACTCATTAATCATAAAAGCTTTATGTGAAGAGGAAAACATTGTGGAAATTACATTTCAATGCATCTTCAGTTTTATTCATGGCTATATACTATTATTTAGGGTAGGAAAGATCGAATCAATTATTATACTGTCTTTGGAGAAAACTCATTCTGTGGCTTCTCATATATATTTCATATATCTCCCTTTATCTTTAGGAGCAAATAGCATATGAGTTTTCTGTTTTAGAAATACCATTAAAAATAAACAATTCAAGATGAAGATTCCCTTATAAAGTTGAACATGCAAATTGCAGCAAATCTTAACATTGAGAAAAGATTTTAAATGTAACTTTATGTAAGTTCCTCTGAAAGTCATTTAGGTACAAGTAACTGTTCAAAATCCAGAATTCTCAAATAATTGTTTATTTTGGTTAGTCGTAATATCTTTTGTGTTACTTTGTAATACTGAAGTGAACGCATTAATTTCTTCTCTCCTGTTTAGTTTGTCATTTTTCTTGTTGACAACTCTGCTTCATTCTCCTATATCATGTTAGTTTGGTGTACACACATGCAAAATTGCACAGCTGCCAATTTGGCCAAAAACTGGATTAATTCAAAATTTTTGCAGCTGCATTCAATGTTAAGACTTTTTCACATATTTTGTCCTAAAGTTGGAGTATGCTGACCAGAAGAAAAGCAAGGTTCAGCTTTCATAAAAGTCTATGAAATTTAGTTTTTATTCTGTGAGGCACTAAGTTCCATTTTTTTCCTTCATTTCAGTTTTTAAATCATCAAACAACCCTTTGCTAATGAAATGCCCATCAATTTTTTCCAGGAAGAGTGTTGGTCATGGAGAATCTATTTGCAGCAGTGTTGTAAACTGGATATTCAACAAATCCACTACATGGGCAACCTTCACACTGTCAGGCAGAACTCTCACACTACCGTACTTGACACTTTTTTAATACCCAAGTATTACAATCAGTTCAATAACTATAAATTATTATTTTATATATTATATTATAAAAGATTTTAGAGAGTGTCCAAATGAGGACCTTGAGGGGAAGCCTCAAGGTTGGAGAGTGGCTGAGGTCACTTGGTCTGTTCAGCCTGGAAAAGAGGAGACTGAGGGGGGACCTCATTGCAGTTACAACTTCCTTGTGAGGGGAAAAGGAGGGGCAGGCACTGATCTCTGAGGTGACCAGAGACACGATCCAAGGGAATGGCCTGAAGTTGAGTCAGTGGAGGTTTAGCTTGGATATCAGAAAAAGGGTCTTCATCCAGAGGGTGGCTGGGCACTGGAACATGTTCCCCAGGCAAGTGGTCACAGCACCAAGCCTGACAGAGTTCAAGAAGCATTTGGACAATTCTCTCAGGCACATGGTGTGACACTTGGGGATGGTCCTGTGGGCTAAGGGTTGGACTCGATGATCCTTTCGGGTCCCTTCCAACTCAGCATATTCTGTGATTTTGTGGTTCTGTGATTATTATAAATAACTTTATGCTTATCAAACTTTTTGTAATACTCAGGTATTATATACACATATATATATGTACACATACATTTAGAAAAATTAAGTCTAAATTAATTATAACCCGCAGACAAAAAAGGTAAAAATCAATTTTGAAAGAATATATGATTTTTTTTTAGTTAGTTTCAGTTTTAGTGGGTGGAAGGTTTAACATGAAGCCCATGCATTTTTTATTTGCTTAGTGACAGTTTTTGAAATTACAGTAAACTTCTAAGCAAACAATTCAAACAGATACAGTGGACACAAACTGTGTGACCTCTAAATATTTCCCTTTAAGCCACACTCGGGAAGTTGTTTGTCTTTTGGTTCTCCAAGACCCATCCTGAATCAAGATTTCCTACACAACATACTGTGCCTTACAGAGACAGTACATCAAAGAAACAAAAAATTGTTTGCTTCTGTAGTATGTTGAACAGAATAACCATCCTGATTATCTACTTTAATCCCAGTCACAATTATGAACGATATTATCCAACTACTCACTTTGGACAACGTGGGGTTTTTTCCTATGTGCAAAGAGCTATGAAAAAAATGACAAACAACCTACAAAAATGCACTGTAACAAAGCAGAGAGTTGCTATATGAGCTCACCAGGACAGAGTGCAATATTGCAAGGTTTGTGTTGTGTTTCAGGTCCATCACATGATCTTCCCCCATACTGGGGAGGTATACATGACCTTGTCCTAGTTCTTTGGCCTCGACCACATGTGAATGAACACAAACTCCAAGGTGACCATTCCTCCCAAACGCCATGTACTGCAACAAACCAGACAGATTTTAACCAGAAACAGACAAACAAGTAACAGAAGGATTTGAAAATAAACAAGATCAATATTTTAAATGGGAATTATTTTTCCAACTTCAAGAAAATCAGTACATAGGTAATCTTTATCATTGGAAAATAAATACTTTTAAAAAGTTAGTTAATTTCAATTTAAAAGGCATATTTTCTCAAAAATATACTTGACTTTGAAACATTATTTCTAATCTTTAAACTAATCTCACTCCCACAGTTTCTGTTCTTTCACACTTTTAAGAAAGATGACTTCCCTTTTCAATAGTTATGACATCTTTGATGCCTGATTTGACATGTTTAATAGACCTGATTTTCAGGAGGCTAGTCTTTGTGAAAATCAGGCATATGCTTTCTGCAACAGGTCAACTCTAAAAACTATAAGCAATCAAAATTAAGCTTTCTTTTGAAATTATAGGAATTATCACATAATTTATTACTGTGTCCCCATCATAAATTGGGGCAGTTATCTTACAATTTTTTCAGTTGTTTAAATTCTGGTGGAAATATGGCAGCACATGTGTTTGATTATATTCCTCAAAAATTCCAAGACCACATCCTCAAAAAAGATATGTGCCATTTCCTCAAATGAACATATTAATTGATTTAACAGACACAGTAATACATATATCACTCTTAGAAAAATGTTCACTCAACAAACTTCAGATACCTTCAGAGTACACAATAAATTGCAAACATATACCAATATTTTATATACAAATATTTTATAAAATAAATATAAAGAATCATAGAATATGAATCTTTCTCTCCCTTAAGTATTTTCAACTGTAGGAGAAATATACAATATCCATGTGAGCTTACATACCATACGCAATCCCTTGACAGAAAAAATTGGAGTTACAGTCTCAGAAAGTTCTCTATTATACTAGAGTTAAGCACATACTTGTAAAACAATTCCTTACATGCACTGGTAAGACAGTTCTCTATAAACTGAAAAATACTGCAAAAAAAAATTCACAACATTACAGAAGAAATAGATTTTGTGGTTTGTCCTCACTTTTTTTCATCACTGTGAAAGAACTTCTCATATATATGTTTCCTTTGCCCTGAAGGCACATATCACCTGCCCAGTTACTACAAATACAACCCTTTTCTTGTAAGGATCAGAATAACATTTCCTGAGGTGAAATTCAGTTCCAAGGCTGCAGAAGGACATTCAGCTCCCTGCCATATTATCACAAATTCATCAGTAAGATCAAGGGGAATTCTGCAAGTAGGTAACTTCTACTGCCTTTCATTAAAAGTAAGAAAAATTGTCATTTCAGATGCTATGTTGAGATAAAAAGTTTGTTAGCTAACTTCTGAGAAATTGTACCTGACAGAAAATGTCAAGCTTTTTTCAGGGAAGATTTAACCCACTGAATAACAGCTCAATCGATGAAAGGTTTTTAGTTGGCCACGTACAAGTAGTCAAAAAGAACCACGTCCTACATGGCAGTCCTTATTAAAATTATCTTATTCCAAATATCACATCCATCTGCATTATATTAAAAAAAAAAACAAACCCAAACCCAAAAAAACTGAGGAAGAGTCCAAATTAATGTAAAAGTGACAGATTTTGGTCTAGTTAGTTTAGAAACCTTGATTAACTGTGACATTTTGGTCAAAACCAGAAAGTCTAGCTCTTCTAAAACTAGTAAATTGATGACTATACGTGCATGTAACCCTTTAAGTTTCACCTGTTCTCAACAGGCACTATACTTTGACAGCTATTCTCAATTTTTATCGTATGTGAAAAATGAATGAGAAACTAATTTATCACACCAGATTCCAAACAGTAGCCAGTAATAATAATGATATAATTTCATCTCCTGATACCACAAGGGTTAATTAAGATGTTCAGATGCAAAAAGAATTTCAAAAAGCATTCAACTTAGCAAAACAAAATTAATACAAATTATAAAAAGATTATTCTCTAGAAAAATACTAATTTAGAAAGGTCTTGATGCTATGTGGACACAGGGTGAGGTTTTCCAGAGTACGCATAAGTTAAAGTGTATTGATTAATTTGGAATTTTGATTTTATGCTGTCAAAAATATTCTAAGTTAGTTATCTTTATTTAAAAACTACAAAGAAAGTGCTGAGGTGCTCTTTAAAGATACTGTCTTAACTCAAAAGGTTGCATATTTCTTCTGGCAAGAGTGACTACATATTAGCAGCAGCACAGAATAATTCTTTCATGATTCTGGATCTGAACATTAGACAAAACATTTTGTCCACTTTAGGTGGACTCAAACTTAAAGCAACCTCAATCTGTTTGTGGTTTAAATGATCCAAAATCATCTTCCATGACAAATTTTAGCTCATTGAGTAAAAATTTCATAGTACCTCTTGCATGTATAGACTTGTATATCTGAAACTAGTAGACAAATAATAAAGTCAAGGATGGAAAAGGCATAACACCAAAAAACAACTAATGTCAGAAAATATCAATGAGAATTAATATGTTCAGTGCATTACAGGAGTGCTCAGTATCATCCAGATCAGCTTTAAAAGAACATATTAATTTAAAATTTCTTACCCCTAATTTTTTTGATATTTCATTTACTTCTTTCTTATTTTCTAAATGAAAAAACCCCTATAACATCTGAAGAATTACAGCCAGATGAGCTATGCCAAATTACACCAGATGGAGAGCTGGCCCACAGAGGAGTTACTGTTTTCTATAACACAGTTTCAGATGCAAGATTCATTATCTGGGACAAAAATATTCAGATTATTGCCAACTTATCTGTCAAAAACATTGCTAGCACAACGAGTTTGGATTACTGCAGAGCATCTTTCCCTCTCTCTGCCACTCTGTGAACCTAATCATGTTGAAGTGAACACCCACAGTGTTCACAATATGCAACTGCTGTGAAGTGGGAGGAGGCGTGAGGCCATGCTGGCCTTCATCCTACAAGCATATTTTGGAAAATTTTTATTGGGCTTTAAATGCTATTTATTATTCAACTTCAAACTGAACAGACACCGAAAAGTTGTTATGGCCATTGATGTTTCATTGTAAGTAGTACTGGTCCAGTACTGTTTAGAATCTTCATCAATGACATAACCAGTGTGATTGAGTGCACGCTCAGCAAGTTTGCAGACAACACCGAGCTGAGTGGTGTGGTTAATAAACCTGAGGGATGTGATACTACCCATAGGGATATGGACAAGCTCGAGAAGTGGGCCCATGTGAACACTATGAGGTTCAACAAGACCCTGCATACAGCTTAGGGCAACCCAGTATCAACACAGGATGTGAGATAAAAGGATTGAGAGCAGTCCTGTGAAGAAGGACTTCGGGGTGCTTTGTGAATGAGAGGTTGGACCTGAGCCAGCAATGTGCACTTGCAGTCCAGAAAGCCAATTGTATCCTGGGCTGCACCAAAAGAAGTGTGGTCAGCCGGACAAGGGATGGGATTCTGCCCCTTTACTCCACTCTGGTGAGACCCCACCTGGACTGCTACATCCATCTCTGGAGCCCTCAGCACAGGTTGGAGCAGGTCCAGACATTACCACAAAGCAGATCAGAGTGATGGAATACCTCTCCTATGAAAACAGATTAAAAGAGGGATTGTTCGGACTGCAAAAGAGAAGGTTCCGTGAAGACATTACTGTGGAGTGCCAGTACTTAAAGGGGGCCTCTAAGAAAGATGGGGACAAGTTTTATGATGGGTCTTGTTGCACTAGGAAAAGGGAAAGAAAAAATTACCAGCCAAAATAGAGCTTTTGAGCACGCAAATGTTTGAAATGGTTTAGGGTATTCCTGCTCCTGCCATATCTTGCTTTACCCATAAGCCTGAAAATGCTGAGCTTCAGTTAAATTTTGTCGTAATAAGTCTTGAAGGCAATGGAAAAGGAGAAATAGAAACTGAGATGACCTGCAGGTATGGAAATTCCATGTTCTTTCCCCTTGAAGTTTTAGGTGTGTTAGAAATTATTCACTAACTGAAATGATACAGCAGCATTGCAGTACTGGATCCTGAGGTGTCTTCACTCTCGAAAGAACCAATGGCAACAAAGGTTAACCTGAGCTATGTTTTGTTGCCTTCTATGTTGCACTTCTCTAGAATAGTATTGGTCTGGAATAAATATGAATAAACCAAAAATTATGTAAATAGTGATTCCTTCATTATTTCACTTGAATTATCAGGAATATTATTTTGAAATTTAAAGTTCTATTTTGATATATGCATATGTATATGTGTGTGTGTGCATGTGTGTGTGTGTGTGAAGCTGGTGAATCTCATTTTCAAAATTTTCCAGGACATTGAGATACAGAGAGATGTATTCCCTAACATCCCAGTGAGTATCTTGGACACCATATATAATATGTCAAGTGTATATAAAGGAAATAGAAAAAAATAGTCTGGAAGCTCTGCAATAGTGTTTGCAAGTTTAACAGGTTCCTTTGAAGCCTGTGAATAGATGCTTGAAGTATAGTACAATAGGTCATTCTGCATACTTTTTTATGTTGAAGGGGCAATTTTTGACTAGGAAACATTATTCTAGCTCTCATAATGTCTCCCACCCTTTTACTAATCATTTTGCCAAATGCCTGTTTTAAATACACTAGTGTACAAACTAGGTGGTTTTTTATGCATGGACCAGGGATAATCCTAAACTATGCAACTCTCTGAGTCAGGATACAGAATAGAATGAGGACAGACGATATTTAGGCTAATAATTAAAGGGATGTTTGAAAAATTAATGGAGATGTGACTAGGAAAAGCACATTTCTAAATTGCAACTCTTGCACACTGCCACAGAGTAGTGACCCTGTAGTCAGACACAGAACACCATAATTTAATAAGGTTATTGAAACTGTGTGAGACAAAATGCAAAATTAAGCCCAGACGACTAATTATTTAGAAAAGGTAACTCAAGATACATCAAGATTATCAGAATAAAGGAAAATATCTTGGCAGTACAGACAGTAAGAACTGGCAGCCATTGCTAATACTGGGCATCTGGAAACAAAAGCCATACCCTGAAGTGGAAGCATGTAAGAAAAAAGCTCCTTTGTGACCTGAGAAATATGGAACAATCCTTTTGGGTGAGCATTGTTTAGAAGTTTGCTTGACAAAGTGATTTTTAAGAATTAACTTTTTTCCGTTTTACTTTGGAAATGAAGATTGTCAATTTTGAAAATTAACCACCTTTCCTCTTCTTATTTAATACTAGTTTCAAATAAATCTTTAAATCTATCTTTGATTTTTTGCAATGTTTGCTCTTTCCTTTAAGAGATCTCTTCTTTCACTTCTCATTTTTGTACTATCAGGTTGAGAGTTCTTTTGCAATATATCCCATCTGTGGCACACTCTAAGCTAGCTTAACCATTTTAGAAATAGTTCCCATTTTTGTATGGAAACAATTCAGGTGTTAAAATTCAGCTCTAGCTAGGCATTTCTACTCTGAAATATTAGAAAAGCTCATGTGAATTGCTTGTCTTAAAAGATTGTCTCTAGATAAACCATGACTCTAATAAGAACCACTCTCGGCACCTAATGCCTTTCTACCATGTTTGAGTTGCCTTCCATTACAGAGGTACCCTAAATGCTTATAATGCTGATACAAAACCTCTGATGGGATCACATATGCCCTTTCCATTGGATATTTTTCAACACGAAGTAACACCATAAGAGTTTGATTCTACATATTACTACTAATTGAGATAGAGTCCAGGGGTTCTCTGACAGTTTCGTTTACTTAAAAAATGGAGTGAGTTTCCCCAGAAGCTGAAGATAGCTCACCACCCTGTTGGGATCAAATGTTACAGGGACCTGAGGAATTTGTACACGGAGGGTGGAATATTTTTTTTTGCATTTCAGTCACAGCAGAGGAAAATTAATGTAGTCATGGGGCACATGCCTTCCCTCGTTTCCCATCACAGATTAATCAGATCCCCAGGTAAAGTCTAAAGAAAGATGTGCCCTTTCTGCAATGAATCTGTACACGCCTGTCTCTTCTCCTTAGTGTATAACTACTGCTGAACTCCAACTATGTCCAGATCTCTTGGAAAAAAGGAGCAGGAAAACTGTGATGCAAGATACTGATGACCTTTACCATGTGTCAGATGTAAGAGAGTTACTTTTGTTTGATCTTTTTTCCTTTGATGGGTAGCTGCTGCCCTTTCTTGCCAGAACAATGTAAAGGGAAGTCCATGAAAACATAACTGCAGTGAACATTGTCTGGCTCATTGCCTAGAAGACAGTATTCTAAATGACAAAATCACACAATGGTGTCAAATAATATATGTTAACTTAATCCACTCTGTTAATTAGACTCTGCTTCTTAATGTATTGATGATCTGAATCTCTTCCCTAGTTTGTCTTTTGTACTCAAGTTACCTTCTCTTTTCTGAATGAAAATGAAAGAATATAGACTTTTTGAAAAAATCTGAAACTGCCAGAAAAAAGGGGCTCTTGTTGCATATCTTGAATGTTCTGAAAGTAAAAATAACAACCTACATGAAAAAATTTCACAGCTGAATAGAATTACAACTTTCTGCTTTAACTGAAATGCCCTTATGAAATCCATACTAATAATAAAAAAATTATATAGTTTCAAATTCTTATCATTATACAGTTAAAAAACATCCACAATTTTATTTATTGGCTGCTAACACTACCTGGACAGAGGGCAGTGTTATTGCAAACCCTTGATTCTCTTAAAGGGCCGCTGCAGTGTGTCCCGTAAGGTGATACACAAGTTCTGGTTCGCACCTGCGACCCTTGACCACAAGTAACTGAACACGTACTCCACTGGGCCCACTCTTCAACACCAGATTCACCTGTATGCAAGACAACAAACAAACATGAATATAGACATAAGTATTAATGACACAACTTTTTTTTCTGAAGCTCATTATTATCTGCTCTTACAAATCAAAGAAAAAAGTAACACACCAAAATAAATATTTAAAAATTCATGGAGTAAAGCAGCTGTGAAAATGTGCAATGAATAGAAAACAAAGACACCTACAGTGCTGCAGTCACATAATGCCTGTCAGAGGGGAACACTTTGATCTTTTGGCATTACTTACAACTCTATGAGAATTACTGCCCTTCAACACTTCAGAAACACTGCCCTCAGGATGCTAAAAGAACATAGACAACTCTTTTTATATAATAGCAAAGGATTTATCTTTGAAATTTTATCACTCTAGAATTAATGCTTGGTAACAATTTAAGGAACCCTAACACTAAGGGAATTTCAATGAAAGAACCCCCAAACAAACCAACCTCCTAATGTCTAATATTTTCTTCAGTGGAGGAGAGTCATCTAGCATCTGAAAGAAGTTCCCTGGTAAAGATATAAATTTTAACCTGAACTGTGGGATGGTAACTTTGGTTTGATCTTTTGCTGCACTCCTTGCTTTCAGCCTACAGGTGTGCTAAATTCTTGAGTGTGCTGGATCTCACTACTGCATAGTACATACCACTATGTTCAAATTGTCAGATGTGATTCATTAATACTATATATTAGAAAGGAGGAAATGTGTTCATTGTTGAGAGACAGCACATTACATAATTTTTATTTTTTGAAAGCAAGTAATGCATAAAGTCTTCTTGCATGGATGCTTGGGAAAGAATGCTTAAATTTAATTTCCATGAACAGTTATACACACAATTCCTTTTCCAAAGGAAATAATGTTCAGAAAACTAGATCCCTTGAGTATTCTCAGAAAGCAAATGCAAAAATAATGTGAATATACCTCACTGAACAATTTGAGTAAATAATTGTGCATTGATGTTTAGCTTTTTCCACTAAAAATCATCATGTGAAATGGCACGCTGAAGTCTCTATTGATTTTTAAATGTATGTCCTTTTTTTAACAAGTGGGATTTTCTGTTTTAAAATCCATAGTGTGATACAATCTGCAGACTTGAACAGCTTGCTTAAAATTTTAGTTATCTCAATACACCTCCAGTCTTCCAAAAGTTGTGATACTGATCACAATTGAGAGATTGTCTGCAAACCAGGAAGATTCTGGTGCTATCTTCCAAGAACGCAGTAAATGACATACTATTTCTTGAAAATGGGCTTTTCTAGCAAGAATCTGTGAATCTGCCCAAGCTCTCTTTTTTTGTTTGTTTGGTTTGGGTTTTTTTAGAGGTCAAGCATGAAGCCTTTGCAAAATGCTTTCTCTGCTATACCTCTAAGAAGCAATCCTGAGGCTATTCAATGCTTTAAAAAAAAAAGTGCTTCTTATTCAGTAACAAGACAAAATGTTTTATAACTAGCACGAAAATACCCCGGCTTTTCATAAAATTGTGTGCAGTTCTAAAAACTTCTATAGACAAGGACAATATTATGAGCTTTTTACACACAAAAATTAATCAGTGATTTTTGTAGTAATTTTCTTTGTTAGGGAAAAAATGAAAAAATAATCCCTGATTATTGTTTTAATAGTTCCTCTAATATGAATTTAGAACTTTGATTAGGCTGTTACGTGGCTTGGGTTCAGGTTAGATGATATAACATGGTAAATAAATTTAATACGTGGGTGGACATCAAGAATTATAAAATATGCAATATAAGACGTATGTACATGGTAAAAAGACTTGTATTACTATGGGTTTCTAGGCTAATATTTTTTGTCTTTTCCTACTTTTTTTGAAGTTTGACTTTGTCTTTGTTAAAATGGTTTAGATAAGAGGTCAAACAGTAGAAAAAGTCAAAACTATGTTTCTCAAGACATTCCTCATTATATAAAACAGTCATATATACTCAGTGTAAATTATCCAACACAGACATGGTGACACTGCATAGCTAACAAAACACAGAAATTAAGTATTAAAAAATTTTTTTTGATATCTTAAAGTGATAAAAATGTTGCTCTTAACCCTTGAGACATGATGAAAAATAGCAGCAACACGATCCTAAGAAGTGTGACTGTATGGAGTGAATTTTGAAATAATAGTAACTATTAAAAGTTCTGAGGATATATGTACTGTCCATTCAAAAGAGCCATAAACTCTCAATATATTTTATCATATGTAAACGATACAATGCTTAAACATTTGCTGGAAGAAGGTCCTCCACAGTAACATGATGTACGGTGCAAAAACAGTGAAATGAAAAGAAAATAAAGAACCAATTTATCTCATCACCTGCTTTGCTTTCTTTTGTTCAATGCATTATGATATTTTGGTAATTTTTAGATTTTCAGAGTATTTTGTACTGCTGTCAGTATGATTATTACTTATTTTGAAAGATTTAAAAGGAGGGAAATATCTTCACAGGCATATCATATCATAGTTAATTTACCATTTTTAATTTAACCACATAAAGACTTTTATATTTTCTAGAGTAAACCTCGACTGACTGCATAACATGCTAATATATCTTCCATTGTTTGCTTTATCTTTTTTCCATTTTTTTCTTTTCTGAAATGAAAATTTCAAAATGGCTACTTTTTATTTTCCTTCATTTTCCGTTATTTGAGAACTCTTACATTTTTATATCTATCATATTAGATCTACAACCTCAAATTAGCTACTGGCAAGCTACCAAGCCCTTATTCTCCCCTGCTGCTGGACATGTAAGAGGAAACATAACTTACTGTATGGAAGGCCTCATTGATCTGTGTGAAACTTACCTGCATTATACTCTCTAAATCCCATAACACCTAAGGGAAGGATCAGTCCAAACACATAAAAGGACAAATATAGAACAATAAATTATTCACACAAAATTTTTTAATAATTTTTGACTGCCTCATATCACTCCCCCAAACCAGCAAAATGCATATTTTAATACGATATTTTAAACTCTTCCATTCCCAGCAAAACTTGGTGGATTAAGTACATCAAACTAATAGTATTAAATGCTTTTCATAAATCTTTTCCAGGATAGTTTTCTATTCCTCTCTCTCTGTCTTTTTAAATGATACAAACATTTTGGTGCACTTTCGCATCTGTTTTATTATTACACAAAATAAAATATCAAACAGGCTCAAAATATAAAACCTCATAAACTCAGTATTCATTTACTATTAGGACTTCATTTACTATTAGGTACATGGGTAATTTAATGAGATACGTGTATTAGAAAAATAACCTTATGAATCAGTTTAGAAAGATATCACAGTAATTTTATTGCAAGAAAAATTAATGCATTAGAGGTGAAGAAAATATGCAATGATCACTACAAAGGAAAATGAAAATGAAAAGATGAAAATTAGTATGTTCGAAAAGAGCACAGTATTACTTAAAATGTGTTAACCTACAACATGGAAAATATAGATTTCCTCAATGCTCATACATCTCACATGCTTTCAGAACAGGACCTTGAAAACCAAGCCTGTATAACGTTCATCTCCCACTCCACACACGCAGTCTATCAGAAGGTGATGGTATAAGGAAGTGCTGCATTTATAATGCAGTTCTCTAGCACCCATAACAGATGCACTGCAATGCATGACTAGAAATCATCAGATACAAGTTTTAAGTGATATTATTAAACTTTTAGGGATTTATATGAGGAAATAAACCAGATAATTTTACTTATTTTTTGAGTAATTGTATGAATTCAGGAAGCAGCATAAAAGCAGAGGTGTTATTCTATGTAGTAAGCAACTAACATTCTATGTCATAGCTACGTATGTGAGTAATCAGTTCTACTTCCCTGAACAAAAACTGCATAGAGAACTCTAGGCTCCCTTCTTCCACTACATTTTCTTACAGTAGTATCTGGGAGTTAGCCATAAAAGCAGTCCTATAGATTAACAGGAGGTAAACAGACTTCTAAATTCTAAGTTCTTTACCAAACAGATCTACACTGATTGGCTATACATGTATTTAGATTGCTTAATATATTGATTTCTGCAAATCTGTTAAGTAAAGCACCCTATTACTAAGGAAGTCAACATGCAATATAACTAGAAGCAATCATAGCTCTTTTACTGAAGTGCATAAAAACTGGAAGCATTATGTATGGCTGATGCAGGCATATATTCTAGGTTAGTAACTATGGAATATAGAGTAAGTTGTTTTAAATCCATACAAAAATATGGGGCACAAAATTGTCAACACAGCAACTTACTGGAATGGAGTGTGTAGGGTGCCATTAAAGAGTTAGATTTTACCAACAGACAAAGGGGCTATTATCAATGTCAAAATGGGCAGTAGCTTTGGTGCATAAAAGCTTAATTCAACTCCACTGAAATTTTATTATTGACCTCAAAGGCAGCTGTGGTAACTGTTGGTAAACAGGCTGGTTTGGTTTTTTTTAATTACTTCAGGTTTCCAATATCATTTTGGTATCTTTAGATAAAGAAGATGAAGTTGCTCAAACAAAATTAGAAAATATGTTTTAGATGAAAAACTGTTAGATAATTTGCACATCCAATTAAAAACTACTTACGGCCAATTTCATTTAGCAATTATGAATCTGGAAACTAGAGAATAGAACGTCGTGCTGGGCCAAAGATAGTAAATGCTGAACGCATGCACATTAAAGTCACCCCAGTAATTAATTAATTTGATAAATGCCTAAAGCTGGGATTAGACCTCAGTCTATTTATAAAGACATTCTGAAGCATGTTCTTATCATCTTTGAAAAAATGTTAATATGTCATAGTGAGCTGTCCTGTGTCTTGTACATGTGAGACTTCTTTTACTACCAAAGAAATTCATGCTTACATTAAATGATTCAGTATCCACATTCACAGTGCATGTTTTTGTATGATCTACCTAATTCTCAGCTACTTTATTTATGGACTTTAACTGGTGAAAAAAAAAATGATTCAAAAAAAGTATCAGCTTAGAAAACTGACAAATATGCAGCAAAAGATTATGGAAACATGCAGTGGTTTTGCTAAAATTAACAACAGTAAATAGAAAAATGTAACTGATGTATTACCAGTTTGTGCCATAAATTTAGCAGCATCAGCTTGTTCCTGAGGGACCCTTTTCTCATGAACAGATCGAGGTCGCTGACTTTTAATTGTATGATCTCCCATCATTCCAAATTCTAAAGACAGAATAAAGGTTTATGAAAGCTTGTGTGTAGACATTTCTCAAAAGTCACATACTGTCTCATGCAATATGTTCCTAAACATACCTGGAAGTTGCTGATAAGAGTCAGGCAAGTGATCATGGCAGTTAACATCAACTTAACTTTGCTACACTCAGCTTTTAATAAATACTTAAATTTATGTCTGCAGATTTTCCAATATGATTTTATTGTATGAACCAACATTCAATGCAGTGACACATACTAAAAATCAGCTGTATAACACAGGACAAAAACACTTATTCAAATGCAGACATTTTATTATTGTATCTTGGATCAGTGCAAACCACACCAGAAAATGACTGTGACAGTGATAGACATTGCTGTTCTATGGCAGAGTCTGCTGCTCCTCCAGAGGACTTCTATTTCTGCACTCATCTTTCAGGCTGATGAAGCCTTCAACAGAGATAATGAGCCATCTTTGGGAATGGTGGCAATGTGAAATAATAATAATTTAGTCAAAGAACTGTTTAATTTTTAGGCTGAGTCCAGCAGAACAAATGCTTGTGATCGGTTTCCTTTCTGAAACTTCTCAGTTAAAAAGACTACAGGCTTTATCTTGCCCTCCACACTGATTTTAATAGGGAAACGTATGAAAAATCAGTGACACAAAAGCCGAGTGTGGGACACAAGAATGCTTCAGGTTTTTTTATCCTATTACTGCTGTCATCTTCTCTCTCTGGTCCTGTGCAAACCTCCTACACTTCTATCTTGGCTCCATTTTTCCTCTCTGTGAGTTAATGTGGAGAGATCTTTGCACTTAGAGAGGGACTGCTGCGTCTTCAGCACAGGAGGATCCCTCTGATCCTCCCAGGCACACACAGCTGTCTGCAGCTTTGTGCTAAATATTCTGTTTCTGCTGGGACTCTAATTCAGGAAGCGTGTGCTGGGAAATGTGGGTTAACATTGAAAGTACTTCAACTACCATCACATGAGGTTTCTGATGAGGCAGAAGGTGTCTGAAACACTAAGAACATAAACATTAAGAAATACCTTTCTGTTGGAAGGTTACCTTGCAAATGCAAAATTCAAAATTCTCCCCAATTTGTAAAGGCATGAAGATAAAACTTACCGTTCTGCCTCAAAAGATGCAAAACACTATATAAGATGTAAATGTTACTAATAAATATTATTTGCAAACACATTGCTTTGATAAATCATTGAACATATTTAATTTTCTATTTAGAGTAAAGAAACAATAAAAGGTAAGCTGATTTTTAAGGAGTCGATCAGCAGAAAGAAGTTTTTTCTTTTCCAGTAAATTATTAATGTATTTTTCCAAATTAGTGTTTCTTTTTGTAAATATTCATTAATTGCACCACTTAAAATATAAATTTAATTATTAATTTGAGAACAGCAAAGCAGTTTTCATTCTAAAGAGAATATTTGAAAATCTAGTTAATAAAATATATTTTGAGGATTAAACATTCATCATTTTTAATACATCCCAGAAATAAATATAAAAGATAATTAAATTATATATATATACACACAAGCATATATATGTGTATATATACATGTGTGCTGAAAATTTTATGAATAGATTTTTACAAAATACATCTCTTTTAAAAGTTTTATGAATAGATTTTTACAAAATACGTTTCTTCTACAGCTCCTCTGATTTAAGATATCTTTTTATTCTGTGTGAAATTTCTTACTATAATGAAAGTTTTACAATCGATACTCTAATGCAAATTATGATTAGAATATTTTTACAATTTTTACAACGTGCAGTACAAATGACACATTTAAACCATAATTAATAACATGGTAATGGCAAGAGACTTTACATAGCTTTTCCCCCAATGAGACTATTGCAGCAAGGCATGTTTACTCTCAGTTTGCTGCCTCCATGATCTCTGCTCGTCAGGCAGTTTAGAGGATACGGCACCATTCTTGCAGAAGACTTAGTTCTACTTTTTAAATTACAGAGTGCAATAATGGGAGACCTTTGCTAGAGGAAGGCTTTCCAGAGGCATACAGGGAGGTGGTAAACGTTCCAGTCCCAGTCCTGCAGCATCTCGTGCTGGGTGCAGGCACATGCAGTGTCCTGCAGGACAGAGACCACTGGTGAAGAGGCAAAGGGAAGGCTGGGAGATCAGTTTTCTGGGTTCTGGATTATACCCAGTGTAGCTCCATTCACAACAATGGAGTTACTCACAAATACCAGCAAGCGTGATAATCATGCCTCGATTTTTTAATTTTTTTAATTTTTCCACTTAGCAACAACACATTTTTAATTTACGCATTCAATTCATTTCAACAATTGCTGATGGTCTTTGAGATGCACTTTTCAGCTAATCTCCCTTTGATATATTAAGCATAGTAAGTATATATTAAAGATAAATGTTTCATTACAAAGTTAAAAAAACGTCTGTATAAGGTTTGTCAGAAAATGGAACCAGACTTATGCAATGCTCTCATTTTCATACTCAGCTGAAGTATTTAACCAAACACTGCATGAGAACAAAAGTGGTACCAGGAAATGCCGTGTACTGGCGTGGGTGAGGCCTCATTAAAATGCCACCCTTGTAAGAAATTTAAAAAGGATTAAGTACATTTTTGTAATGGGATCAGAAATGTCCACTTTCTGCGTATAAGTATAAACGATGGTCTCAAAATTGTTTAATCAAAGAATCTTAACAGTAATGCATTTTTATGAAGCATTTTAAAGTACAATATCTTTCTTAAGTGACTGCCACAGTTTACAATAAATACTAAAAAACACTAAAATAAAACTTTCCTCCATTTTCAGATCCTAGGTTATGAATGTAGAAGATGAACCCACTTGCATTTGTTTTCTGTCAATACTTCACAGAGCAGAAGTATTTAAATGCTTTCTGGGCAGGGACAGCTTTTTAACCCAAGTCAGCCTAGAGTATGACTAAATGGCACACTAATATCAAGGGCCCATTTGTGTGGGAAAGGTGATAAGAACCATCTCAATCTAGGCAGTATCTGGTATAGAGGTGTCCTGCAAGGTCAAGTCAGTATAATGCAAGTCCTGATGTCTGGGATATAAGATTGGATATATGAACTGACATTCTGAATAAAGGAATTTTTCTCATTCTCACTCTTCTTACCTAGTTCTTGCTGCTGAAAATAAGTTTTCTAACCCAGAAGGTATTTTTGTAGACATCAGATTCTGAAGGGAATTTCTTTTGTGATACCTGTCCTAAATTTTCTTTGGGTGCAGGACAGTCCTTCTCTGCTTTTACCTCAAACATTGATATTAACCATGTTATGAAGAAATTTTTCACAGGGAGGGTAATCAGGCATTGGAATGGGCTGCCCAGGGAGGTGGTGGATTCTCTGTCCCTGGAGGTTTTTAAAATGAGACTGGATGTGGCACTTAGTGTCATAGTATAGTAACCATGGTGGTAGCGGATCAAGGGTTGGACTTGATGATCTCGGAGGTCCTTTCCAACCTGGCTGATTCTATGATTCTATGATTCTATGTTGTTTTGTTAAATAAAGGGAGACAACGAATCCTTTCAGCAACAAACAGGTACATGGCCTAATTCAGAAATCACCAGTATGACTCTTAAAACATGACTCTGAAAACATGAACGAGTTTTAATACTTTTTACTACATTGTTACTGCTATAATCCAACAGCATGAAGGTAAAACTCATAAATACCTCAAAATGTAAATAAAAACCAGCATTATTGGGAACCTTGAATAGATCATTTTAACCAGACCATGACTTATAATAAATCGTAACACATTCCAAAAATTTGGGGTAGAAAACCTGAGGTTTAGTTATCTGACAGAAGAACTTATCCTGCTGCCAGTGGTCCTTTGGTGGCTATGGAAGTACAACAGTTTCCTGCAATAAGATGCGTATTTTCTCTCTCCTCAGCTGTACACAATGGATCAGTACTTCAAAGTATTTTAGTAATGCATGTATCTTAATATGGATGTGATGTATCATACGGTTAAGCATTGGAAGAGACTGCCCAGGGAGGTGGTGGAGTCACCATCCCTGGAAGTGTTCAAAAACAACTGGACATGGCACTTAATGCTATGGTTTAGTTGGCATGGTGGTGTTCAGTCAAAGCTTGATGATCTTGGAGGTCTTTTCCAACCTAAATGATTCTACGATTCCATGATTTTATTTTGCATATGAGCTGAGCATATGAGCGTGTAAAATATTTCCATGCCTTCTAGGATTGAAAAAAAATTAAATTTGAAATTCCAGAGTTTACAGTTGAGTATTATTTGCAACTCTTATCACTAGTCCCATTGGTTTTACCTTTATTTTTATGTTATTTTACGGGAATTTTTGTTTCTATTGAGTAACCTTTTTAGTTTTTAAAAGGAGAAGCTAAAGTCTTGCAGCCAGTGTAGGTGTACATTTTTAGGAGAGGAGAGAGGTGCCATGTGCTCTCTGTAGGAACAAAGAAGAAAGAAAATCTGTTAACAGTGTAAAAATACAAACTAGGAAGACTGAGCAGTACAAAAGAAAAATATCAGCTTTGCAAGGTTCTACTCATCAAGTAGTAGAACTAGTCTTTGCTTTTGGACAACTGGATAATCATTAAAGTTAAGGTACGTGTCAAACAGATCAAACAGATCCTAGGCTGATTTATAATATTTTTAACATATAAATATGTATTGCTACAAATATATCCTAGTCATCAGATAACATTATAAACCATGCTGGTTTGGCTTTTATGGTTATTTTTTTTTGTCACATTTCATGGGAACTTCAAGTGTAAATGCATTGATCTGGTTATGGTGTACCACCTACTATGTGCTATTTTGTGCTATTTATGGTGCAGAACACACTAAGTTAATAAAAAAAAAGCCTTTTTCAGCATCAGTTGGTGATGACAACATGAATGAACTTTTGAACTAAAAAAAAAAAAGTGATTCTGAGACTTCTAGGTTTATCCCTTTAGGACATGTACAATGTCAAGGAACCTCTGAGAGTTGCTGAGTATCGTCAGCTTGT